GCGCCAACTTTAGGAAAACGGCGGAAGCAAAGTTGTACACCTAATATATATATATATATATATACATATCTCAATATTTAATATATACGCTAATATATGTATATATACCCCAAATGTACATAATTTAATATGTTAAAATATATACTTGACATTGAGTGTATTTGATAATCTACTAAACAACTGTGTAGAAGAAATATCACTTTTGAATAGAAGGGCATGTGATCAATGTTACATGGGGACTTTCCTTTAAAAAAACTATTAATATAGATAGATTAAAAATATAGTTCTGTAATATAAACAATGCAAAAAAAAAAATATCCGGCACATCGTGTTGCACTCTTGCAGCTTTATAAATACATAATACGCGCGCATGCAGTCTTTAGAATCATATCATTTAACCACAGATGTCTATACTAAACTAGATTACTAATATGTCACCATTAGAAGAGCATAACTTGCGTCCGATAGAGTTTCTGGTGTACCAGAGAAAATGGCTGCCGCTGGCACATTTAAAATAATTATTGCGTGTGATATTCAACAAGTTTTTTAATAATTATTGTTTAGATCTAACAAATTAAATATAAATTATTAAAATAAGTGTAAATTATTAAAATAATAGTTATTTTAATTCAATTTTTTGTCATAAACTGTCAAACTGTCAAACGACATAAACTGACAAACTGTCAAACAACACGAGTGAAGCAAGTCACACGAACGAGTGAAGCAAGTCACATATCTTTTGTTTTTACAAAAGATTTTCTTTGGCCACACTGACACATACCGACGCTGTAAATAAACTCACACAAATGACACATTTCACACAGGACCGCCGTCATTTTCTCTCATATAACCGGAAACTTCATGCGACGCAAGTCCGAAGCCTCAATTAGTAATCTAGTTTAATATAGACATCTGCGCGTTTAATAGATTGTGTTTTGATAATGTCATAACATTTTCTGTTATTTCTCGATTTTTCTCTCTCACTATATTATTAAAAATTGTCGAAAAATTAATCGTCGCTGTCTGCGTAATCATCACTATCGTTGCTATCTTCATGCCTCAATTGTTGTTGCGCACAAACATTCGATGTATTCATTAATGAATTTGCATTCTTGATCATGTCCACCGAGTCATCCGAAGAATCCACATTTGGCAATAATTCCCATGAGACAATATTGTGTGACCTATGAACAAGCAAAATTGCGAAATATTAAAGATATATTTCTTTTACTTTGAGAAAATTATTTAAATATTTAACCACAAACAAATTTTGTATGCTCATAAAGAATTATTTTTGTTATGAAGTCATTGTACTAATAATTTCATAAAAACTCAAATATTAATCAATAGTATAAAAAATTTTATATACTCAAATATCATCTTGACAAAAAGATAGAGTTTGCAAAGAAGAAGAATATACATATTTATAAATCATGATACTAAAAAAGTCATAAAATAAATATAAATTATGTGTCACACAAAAGTAAAATAATATAAATTTAATGCATTTTTACGCATTAATTTATATATGTGCATGCATTTTTGCATCATGCTTTTTATTTTTTTACTTACTGAGCTGTAGATGATGGTTACATTTCATCATCACACAGCCTGCAAAAAATTCATGATTGTTATGATCATAGTAGAAAAGAAATATACAGGGTGACCCGCAATGATCGCCCACTAAGTACATAGCGTTATTCCTTATCAAAAACTGAGTCGAAAAGTCCTGAACCATTTTTTTTTATAACGCTTAATAAAGGAGTTATTATTGAGTAAAGTCGGGCCAACCAGCGCTGATCTTTAGCCGGGCGCACGTCGGTGAGCCGCGCGCCTGATAGTGTACGCCGCCGAGCGCTCACGCACATTATCATGCGCGCGGCTTACCGACGTGCGCCCGGCTAAAGCTCGGCGCTAATCGGCCCGACTTTACTCAATAATAACTCCTTTATTAAACGTTATAAAAAAAATGGTTCAGGACTTTTCGACTCAGTTTTTGGTAAGGAATAACACTATGTACTTAGTGGGCGGTCATTGCAGGTCACCCTGTATAATATATACATGTTAGTCAACGTGAAATATTTACAATACATGCAATAGATAAGAATTGACATCGGAAACATAAATAATATGTAATTATGTGTAATATTTAAATTTAAAACAATACAAGATAAGCTATATGATATTTTATAATTGATAGTGTATAATATACCAAGTGTAAAGTGCAAATGCGTGATTTAAAACTCGCAGATTCATGATAGTTCGTATTTTGAAATATAAATAACACTTACATTTGTTCCGGTTGTTCATTGCCACTTTCTTCGGCAACCAATAATTCGTACTCTTCTGCTGCGAAACGATCCCAATCCGAAAGCTATAGCAAAAATAAAACATATTTTTGACACTTGCATTAATAAGTATAAATCATCACAAGATTATTTCTATAATAAATAATCTATCAATTTGTTGGCTTTTGTGTATGTGTATGTAGGGGAAAGTTGGATCAAACCGGGTAGGCGGGTCAAACCGGGTACCCCTGCATTCTGTACATATTAGAGAGTATATCATATTAGTTTTGATCGGCACTTTGTACGCCGGAATATACAACCGCCGTATTTGTTACTTTCCTTGTGTTTGGGCAAAACCGGGTACTTACACATCTCATGTAATGAAAAGAGGAAGAACTGTTATCCTGACTTTGTGTTCCTACAAAAAGCAGTTGAAAACGAAAACTAACACTCAGAAAAAAAACTACTAAAAAAAAGCTTTTTGAGATCCTTAAAGTTAAAAAGTTAAATAAGGAAGTCCTGCAGCAATGTCGAACTCATACAATTACGAAAAACTGTGAAACACATGTTTGATCATTTCGAGGGGCATTTTTAAAGGAGTTTGTGGGGAGATCGCCGCCCCCAAAGAGATCTTCCGGGGGAACCCCAACTCAAAAATCTCGACTCTGGGACTCCATATATTGTAGTATGTCATTTGAAAGGCATAAAATAAAAACATTTTTGGCGCAAATCGGAGGTTGATACGTTGACCCATTCGGGACTTATTTAGGGTCAAAATTCTAATTTTCTAGCTAATTTTCAAAAAATTATTACTCTCATTTGAGACCTCTTAAAAAAACGTTTGACGTGTGAAAAATCTTAATATTTTTAAATCCTTTCCATTAAAAACATTCAGATTTGACCTTGGGATTTTTTCAGGTCGAGAAGGACACCCTAATCCAAAGTTGTTAAATTTAAGATGACACCATATTTGACAGATTTTGGAAAACTAAGAAATTAGTTTTTTATTATGGCCTTTTCAAAAATCTTGTTTACACCAAGGGCCGAAAAAAGGATCTCTTACCTCTTGTCATTATTGAAAAATAATCGTTTTTCTTTTTTTCCAATGATCTTATGATCTCTGAATGAGGGGAGAGAGGGAAAGCAAACGTACAAAGTTTTTCTAATTGTGGCCATCAAACATTAATTTTAAAATTATGCATAAGAAAACAATTTTTTTCGATATTGACAGAAGTTAAGAGTTCCTTTTTCGGACACTCTCAATGCAAAGGGGATTTTTTAAAAGTACACGGCCATAGCGAAAAACGAATTCTTTTCCAGTTTTTCGAAATTTGTCAAATATAGTGTCGTCTTAAATTTAATAGTTTTTTGAGTGTCCTTTTTGATCTGAAAAAACCCCAAGTTCAAATCTGAATTTTTTTATGAAAAAGATTAAAAAGACGATTTAAAAAGACGAACACTTTTTACACTTTAAGAATTTTTTAAGATTTTCCAAATGGAAGTAACGATTTTTTTAAAAATTGGCGAACTTTAATCCCAGATAATTCTTAAACGAGTCAACATATCAACCTTCGGTTTCAGCCAAAACAATTATTTTATGCCTTTTCAAACGAGGTACTATAATATGGGGAATTCCATTTGAAATTTTTAAATTAGGGTACTCTTGTGACTCCATTCCCTTGCGGGGCGGGGGGGGGGCGGACAAACCTCCAACCTCCTTTAAAAGAGTAGCCTCTCGAAATGATCGAACACATGTTTCACTGTTTTTCGTAATTTTGAATCGTTTTCGAAATATAGGGGATGGGAGCGGACGTTAGAAACATCCGGTATATGCAAGATGTTTCATTCAAGTCAAGACACCCATATATCTAAAAAAAAGTAGCACAATTTTAAAAATGTATTAACAAAAGTTATTTGGTTTTAAGAGAGACTTCTTGCGATGAGCACGATTTTATTCCAGATGGAAATGTGTTTCCCAGATTTCAAGATCATCATTCTTTTTCTAAATGTAACTATCTTAATTTTTTTACATAAATCGATTCCTCGAAATATTTGACGTAAAAGAATTGCAAGGGTAAAATAGTCAAAAAATGAATGTCTTGCGAGATATTTTTAATCTGATATATATTAATACAAAATATGAAATATCGTGTAAATGTTCAATTTTTTAATAATTTTACTTTAATATTTTTATACATAAAATAATGAAATCAATCAATTGATGTAAAGAAAACATACCCTTGTTATTAAAAGAATATGTAATTAACAATGTGCAACCACATATTCTTTCTTAAAAATAACTCTAAGTTTTTTACATTAGTTGATTGATCTCATTATTCTATACAAAGTGTTAAGATTTGCAGATGTCGACAAAAAATTTAATTTCTATTTAAGCGAGTAAAAAGAATATGGTAAATATGGGACATAAATATATTAAATATAAACAGAACTTTGTCCTATGCTTTAGATCCCTGTACCCGGTACATTCAAAAACTTCCCAGACTGATTTTTTTTTAAACGTACTAATGGCATTATTTCTCAACCAATACTGGAACTAGGTAATACCAATTTTTTTGAGTTTCCCATAATTTTTTCGTTGCGTTAGGTGAAGTAGTTTTTGAATAGTGCACATTGAAAGATTGTTTGTTCTTTTTGCATTATCACGATTTCAAGAATGGAGCAACGGGTTGCAATTAAATTTTGCTTTAAAATTGTTTTATCGAGATGTTATGGATCAACTGTTGAACCGAATTTGACGTGTTAAACCCGAGTTTTACCAATCAGGTGAATGGTTCCTTTCTCCATGATAACGCACCAGCACATTTGTCAATCGTAGTCTTCCAATTTTTGGCCAAAAAAAATGTGACCATCATCATTCATCCATCGTATTCGCCAGATTTGGCACCTACCGACCTTTTTTTTGTTCCCTAAGATAAAATTAGCAATGGAAGAGACTCGCTACGAAGATATGAAGGCAATTCAACGCGGTGTGACGGAACATTTAAATGCAATTTTCCAAAAGGAGTTTTCCGGCTCTATGAATGTTCTACTGATTGCATGGCGAAAGGGGGAATGTATGTAGAAAAGTAAATAATAAAATTTTATTTACGTGTAGAATTCAATTTTTTATTGCATCAGTCTGGGAACTTTTTGAATGCATCGGGAATGCCAAGATAAAGAGCATATAAATAAATAGATAGCAAATTTTTCTTCCTTGCGCATTCGTGCGTTTCTCTCAGCGATTACGCGATTGCACATGCGCGAGGGAGGAAAATGTGCCCCCTTTACTTCACTTATCTTGACACACAGTAAGATAAAGCTCTATCTATATTTAATAATATCTATGATATGGGACGACGAGATGGCTCAGTAACAGAGTGATTGTCTACTGAAAAAGAGATCCTGGATCGAGTCCTGTACCCCTATTCTGTAACTTTTAACGACAAATTCGCTATCGTTACGCGTCGTAGCGCAGTTATTTTCCGAAACGTTTTAGCTGCGCACCGACACGTAATGATAACGACATTGTCATTACGAAATTAGAGAATACGTTTACTGGTAAGGCTCCGATATTTTTCCTCTACTCGAGAAAGGTTTATAGATTATAAAAAAATGAATATTTTCCACGATATTTCATATTTTATGCCAAAATATATCAGATTAAAATATAAAAAATCTAGCAAACCATTTTTGACTATTCTATCCTTATCATTTTTTACGTCAAATATTGCGAGTAATCGATTTATGTAAAAAATTAGAATAGTTCCATTTAAGAAAAGAATGATAACCTTGAAATCTCGAAACTGTCTTCATCTAGAATAAAACCATGTTCACCACAAGACGTCCCCTTCAAAACTACACACACATACAAATAACTTTTCTCTAATACATTTTTTTAAATTTAGTGTTTTTTAAATATTTGGATAAAGATTTTGGTCTTAACTTGAATGAAATAAACATCTTGTATATACATGACGAAAATATATAAATATTGTGAATAAATATTGTTTCGTAATTTATACTCGGTATATACAGGATGTTTCCTAATAAGTGGGAAGTATTGGATTCAGGACACAAAAATAAGAAAAAAAAATCATAAAAATATATGTCCGATATGACCTTGTTTCCAAGTTACAGTCTGTGTTATTTTCCAATAGAGTTAAGATGGAATACAGTTCGCGGAAATTTTTGCGCATATAAGAGTCCAACTCTGACTGCATTACCATCGGAAAATCCATACATGAGATGCATGTCTGCTATTTCATTGACTTATTTTTTTTTTTTTTAGTTACAATTTTCCACAAATATCTATACTAAACTAAATTGCTAACATGTCATTATAAGAATAGCATAACTTGCGTTCGATAGGGTTTTTGGTATGAGAGAAAATGGCCGCCACATTTAAAATAATTATTGCGTGTGATATTCAACAAAGTTTTTTAATAATTTTTGTTTAGATCTAACAAATTAAATATAAATTAAATATAAAATAAGTGTAAATAATTAAAATAATAGTTATTTTAATTAAATTTTTTGTTATAAACTGTTAAACTGTCAAACGATACGAGTGAAGCAAGTCACACATCTTTTGTTTTTACAAAAGATTTTCTTTGACCACATTGACACACACCGACGCTGTAAATAAAACTCACACAAATGACACGCTTTACACACAGCATCGTCATTTTCTCTCATACAATTGGAAACTTCATACGACACAAGTCCGAAGCCTCAATTAGCAATCTAGTTTAGTATAGACATTTGTGCAATTTTTCACTTGAAATGTAAACTATTGCGTTAATAGCTAACATACGATATACAAATACTTTTATCTTCACTGATTGTAAGCATAAGATACGAACCGTACCACTTACAACACAAGTAACACGTATTTATATTTACAGATTAGCAAGACCTCAATAAGTTCTACAAATCTTGCAGATAAACAGCAAATCGATATCCAAGTTTGCTATCTTAATTCTGTTAAAAAATAAAACAGGCTGTAACTCGGAAACAAGATCATATCGGATATATGTTTATGCGAACTTTTTTTTTTATTTTTGTGTCCTGAATCCACCACTGCAATACTTGCCAATTATTAGGAAACACCCTACATGTATAATCATAATTTTCCTAATTTTTAACAACCGAAAGTAATATCTGTGATCCTGACATTATTAATCAAAAGTTTGACTATCGAATTTAGGAAATGTTTCCCAAATAAATATTTAGGAAAATGTTAAAATAAGTACGCACTTCATGACCGTCAGCGTCGTGATCTCTCGTCGAAGCAAAAGGATCCCTTTGCTCATGATCCAAATATTTTTCCAGATTAAAGAAGGTATCAAAGAATATGGACGTCATTTTACATTTTTTCAAGTCACTCAATGATATCTTGCCTGGTGTTACCGGGTGAATCATATCTAACATCTGAAGCATATTATATTTTTTTTTACATTTTATTATAATGTCTTATTCAATTCATACTTTTCAATACTATTTTAAAGTTTGAAATTTAGAATGTAGAACTATAAAAACATACAGATACTCTATAAACAGACTTATAATTTTACCTGACAAAGACAATCTTCAAAAGGCAATGTTTCCAGACCAATCGCTTCCATTCGACGTAATTGCTCTTCATAGAAGTATTCTAATTCATACATCGACAAATAACCATCACCGTCAAGATCCATGCATCTATCAATAAAAAATGTAACGAATGCTACAAACTAAGAGCATTACTAAATACTATTATCTCTCACATGACTAATGCGGAAAAATTACCTAAACCAATATTCAATGGCAGTGGGATGATTTTTATCTTCCTCGCTAAGAAGAAACCATACAAATTCCGTGTAACTCATCTTATCTTCTAATAGTTGTGCATTGTTGCCACTCTTTACTCTATTACCCCTCGTCACGGCACCGCTAAATATGCGTTCGATCATTCGAGCTGACAATGCTGAAGATAAATCAAATTGGCAAAAATTTGAAATAAGATACATTGGCGTGTATTATATACATATTCATTCGTGTATTATAAACATATTCTCTCACCATGATCATTATGCCTTGTTAGATCCATTTTATCTATGAAAAGATCGTGGTCGCGATCTAATTCCCAAAATTTGCAATATATTACATAAAAATGTTCATAACTGAAGTAGGCTGTAACTTGATTGATATCTTCCTCGTGCTCAAGTACAGCAATCACTGCTAACAAATTGCTTCTCCTTAATTCCGCTAATGAAATTTTGCCACTCCAACTTCGATTTACACAATAAAATATCCTAGCAATCACCTACAATTATATTTATATATAAGTATATCTGTGAACGATTGCTTTTATTTATGACTTATATGAGAACACGAAACATTTCTTTGAAAATCACAACTAAATTATTCTTCGAAAACAACTAAATGTAAAAATTTTATATTATTTAAATTTGAATTTTTAATCAATGTGTTGAATTATTTCAAAATTAGAATCACAGTTACAATACTTTTTCATTAGCTTCGGGAATTACTATTGTTTTTATTATAGTTAGAAAGAGTAATTTTAATAGATATTAAACACAAACTATACGAATCTATCGTTTAATTGCAATTTGATCATATTCAAAAAAATTTGATTAGATAAAAAATGGAATAATAAGGATATAAGCTATTCAGTACGAACCGTATGTACATAGCGGGAATGGAATTCCGTAGCTTCTTTTAAAAATGTCAATCCTGGATGCGTTTCTACTACATCTTGTACGAGTGGAATTAAATCCTCTGGGAGTATATTGTTTCGAAGTCTTCGAGTGACAATTCTGATGAATTTATTAGCTATATCCTGATGAGTAATTGTTAGGCTGCAACAAGTGACATAATATCGTACAATATTATGTTATACATACAACATTATTAAACAAAGCACAATTCTTTGCTAATAGATAGAGAAAGAGAATATTTACTCTTTATTCTACATGATGAAAATATGTCAAATTCAACATTTGTTTGTCATTTTTGCTTTATCTTATTTCTTTCAACATATAATAATATGTGAATAAACGATTTATATACAAGTTGATAGAATAGATTAGATTGACAATTAGATCGTCACAAAATCATTATTTTACATTCAGAATATAATTCTGAAGCCAAATATCATATACATATATGTATATGTATATACAGGGTGAGGCATTTATAGTGACGCGGGCATATTTTTCGGAAGTGAGATATCAAAAAATATTTTAGACAAAAGTTGCATGGTTTTGAGGGGGCCACATGATAAAAATATGGATTTGACCTTGAGTGACCTTTTCAAGGTGAGGTCAAACGTAAGTACATTTGCACACGTACTGATCTCTCATCTGTTATTGCTGACAGGTAAAATAAATAAATTGATTTCCACAAAACTTCTTCGCGCGAGCAAAACAAAAATAAACTTCGTTTCTTAAATATGTGTAAATATTAAGTTTATATTTTTATTTAAATATAATAATTAATCAACCATTTAAATTGTTATTTAAGAAAAAAATTAAATATTTTACATACAACATTTATAGTTCGTTAATATCAGCTGACCGCCGTATATCGTATTCATATACATAAGAAACAATAAAATCAGCTGTGCAGTAAAAACAGGGTGATGAAAAATTAAGTACCATAAATTTGTGATGAAAGAAGGGACCAATACAAACATTTTTAGTATAGGAACCATGGGGATCGACGACGCTTCGTTACGGCGTGACGGACGTTTAATTGAATCGTCACGACGCCTGCAAGCAACGTAGTTTGTTTGTTTGCCTCTCGTTTGTTTACCATTCGTTTGTTTACCTCTCAAGATGCTTGCAAGGTCTTTCTTCCACTCTCCCCATTTTTTCTCAGCCAAGCTGCAGTGATTACATTGTCAGTCGAGCTGTGCTACTGACAATGAAAAACGAGTAGTTGGAGTTTGTTTTCTTTGAAATCATGAACCGACTTTTGTCGGAACGTTGGCGGTCGTAACTTTGAACATTTATTGTAAACATGTCAAATTGACGGAATAAAATCATTGCATCGAAGGCGTTGTGACAATTCAATTAAATGCCCGTCACGCCGTAACGAAGCGTCGTCGACCCATGGTTCTTATACTTAAAATGCTTGTATTGTTCCCTTCTTTCATCACACAAATTTATGGTACTTACTTTTTCATCACCCTGTATATATACATGAAAATAAACTAATGTTGGGGCCCCTCGCCGAGATAAAAGGTTTTAACCTCACTCGGTTGGAGCACGCTCTTTCGGATTTCGGAGTACAGGGGAATATCGGGTGGAAATGCACTACGTAATGTCGTTCGATCACAATGTCACTTTATTCGTCACCGTATAACAGGATTCGCTAATTCAAAACTCGGTTGATCTTTCGCTAATAACGGCCACGACTCGTCTAAATTCCACAACGCGGAGACTGCCGTTCACGCGTTGGCTTCCCTCTCGGTCCCGCTCCCCCGCGGGCCGAGCTTCTCGATCCACCCAACCACGAGGTAGGGGGTTCGAGGGGGCACATACTTTCCAGTATCTTCGACGATAATACCAAAGAAACCGCGAGGCTCCGGCAATAATATCGCTAAATAATAAAATCACGACCCAAGGGCACAGCCAAATCGTCGACAGCCGAGCTTGTTCAGCAAGGTCCCGACATTTCCGCCCGTCTCGTCTTTGGACGAAGCAGAATTTAGGGTCGATCTCGAGGTTTAGGGTCCGCGCTCGAGGTTTAGGGTCATCGGAAGGGGCGCCGCCCGCCGTTCTGGTCGGCGGCGAGGCGCAGTAGATCGGCCGCTCGCCTTGAGAGGACCTAGGCGGTGGCCCAGCAGGGGAAGAGGCCTTGATGCTATCCAGCCTCTGGCTGGTCCATGGGCGAGATGAGCAACGGACAGAGCTTGGCGACTGGTCACGTCAGGCTGGATGTAGCGCCGTAATGCGAGCCAGAGCCCACTTTGCTGGCGGCTGAAGCTCGTCCTTGATGAGGACCAATGCTCCTTCTCGGAGATTGACATGGTTTTCGCCATTTCGTCAGCTGCTGAAGGTGATGGAGGTACTCCGTTGACCATCTGTTCCAAAAATGATTGCGAAGATTAGTTATAAGAGCCCAGCGAGACCAGGAGGGTCAGAGGCGCGAGAAGGCTCAGGAACGTTGATCGGGGGCTTTCCGATCAACAGATGGCCGGGAGTCAGCGCTGTTAGATCTCTCGGATTGTTGCTTAAAGGATAGAGGGGTCGAGAGTTGAGGCAAGCCTCGATCTGGCACAGAAGCATGATAAGTTCCTCAAAGGCCAGAGTGTGATCCCCGAGGATACGTCGGAGGTGGTGCTTGACCGCTTTCACACCGGCCTCCCATATCCCTCCAAAGTGAGGAGCGGAGGGCGGTATGAACTCCCACTCCGTACCGTTGGTCGCGAGTTGCTCTCGGCACTCCTTGTAGAAGTCGGCGGCTGCTTCAAACATGGCGCGAAGTTCCTTATCGGCGTCATGGAAGTTCGTTCCGTTATCGCTCCGGAGGCGACCGCAATGTCCACGTCTTGCCACGAAGCGCTTAAAGGCGGCTAAGAAGGACGCCGTTGATAGGTCCGATACAGCCTCTAAATGGATGGCTTTGGAGAACAAGCACACGAATAGACAGATATATCCTTTGAAGGACCTGTGACCTCGTCCCTTGGTGGTGCGGATCTGCATGGGTCCGGCATAGTCGACGCCTGCCGTGGAGAATGGGCGGCTTGCCCGTATCCTGTCCGCAGGAAGTCGCCCATCTGCTGCTGGGCGACGTCTGTCCTAAAGCGCGTGCAGCAAATGCACCTATGGATTACTGCGCGAACCAGCGAGTTTGCGTGGATTATCAAGTAGCGCCTCAACAATAGACTGCGAGTCAACTGCGGGCCCGCGTGAAGGGCTCTCTCATGAGCATCGTGCATTAGAAGAAGTGCCAAGTGGTTATGCTTAGCGAGAATAACCGGATGTTTCTCCTCGTAAGACAGCAAGGCGTTATGGAGCCGCCCTCCGACCCGGAGCAGGTTACTGCCATCCAGCAGAGAGCGCAGCGGTAGCAGTGATGATCTAGGGGCGGTGGTTGTCGGCGAGATAGACATTTGATCTTCTCCTTGAAGTCGTCGTGCTGCGCGATCTGTAGCCACCGGAGTCGGCATTCTTCCAGTTCAGCCGTAGTGAGTGGGCCGGTAGTTCGGATCTTTGGGGGTGATAGTCGTCTGAAAAAACGTAAGCATAGGGCTGTGACTCGAACGAGCCGGTTAAATGAGAAAAATCGGTGCAGCACTGGATTGGGCTCCGACTCCGTGGAAATCCCATAGAGCACCACGACCGGTCGCAGCTCTGAATCCTCGTGGCCTTCCTGCTGTCTCTCCTCCATTGACCACATGTGGCGGGGCGCAGTGAGCCAAGGTGGTCCAGTCCACCATAATTGGGACTCCACAAGCTCCAACGGGGTGATTCCGCAGGTCGCGACGTCTGCGGGGTTCTCTGCCGTCGGAACGTAATGCCACCGCTCCGAAGGCACCATCTTTTGGATTTTCGCGACGCGGTTCGCGACGAACGGTTTCCACCGAGACGGATGCGCATGAATCCAGGCTAGGGCAACTTTGTCGTCGGCCCATGCGTAGATAGCGGTGTCGGTAAGCCCAAGGCCGCCCGCCACTGCGATTATCAGTTGGGCCAGGAGGAAGGCTCCACATAGTTCCAGCCGATGGATTGAGAGCGGCTTCACTGGAGCCACCTTAGTTCGAGCTACCAGCAGTCATACAACGACTTCTCCTGATGACTGTCTAGTCCGCATGTACACCGCCGCTGCGTAGGCCCGATTGGAAGCATCCGAGAAGCCGTGCAGCTCAACGTTTTCGGCACTCTCCGAACCCGTCCAGCGAGGTATGAGCAATCCGTCTAACGCCAAAAGCGATGCGGCGTAGTTCAACCAGCGCCCACGGAGGCGGTCCGGGAGTGGTTGATCCCAGTCAAGACCTGCGAGCCACAAGTCCTGGAGGAAAATCTTGGCGACGAGGAATACTGGTGCAGCCCAGCCGAGTGGGTCGAACAATTTAGCAACGTCTGACGGCACAGTTCTCTTCGTACTTCTCTGCGTGGATGAGAGCACTGGTACCGCTCGCAGAGCGAGTGTCCAGTTTGGGTGACCAGACCATGCCCAACGTGCTCACGTCCTTGGGTCCGGGTACCAGGAGTTTCTCGTGCTCTCCATCAAGCGTGAGGGTGGCATTGTTGCTTGCCCATTTGCTCAGTTGGAACCCTCCGGCCATCAGGAGATCGGCGAGCTGCTGCTTGATGATGAGAGCTCGGTCAAATTGGTCGGCGCCAGCGAGGATATCGTCTACATAAGAATGCGACTGGATGGCGGTCGCTCCAAGGGGAATTGCTCGCCTTCGTCCTGCGCCAGTTGCAAGAGAGTTCGGATGGCGAGATACGGAGCCGATGCTGTCCCATATGTCACCGTAGTAAGACGGAAGTCCTGTACCTCCATCGCAGGATCCCATCGCCATAGAATCCGCTGAAGGTCAGCGTCCTCAGGATAGACGCGGATCTGTCGGAACATTTTGACTATGTCGGTGCAAACTGAAATAAACGCCAACGAGTTAACACAAGCCAGAGCTCTGATTGGAGCTTAGGCCCTGATAATAGTAGGTCATTCAGGGAGAAGCCGGTGGGGGTACGAAACGAGGCATTGAAAACGGCTCGTATTTTGCAATCGAGGTCCATAGCCTTGACCACCGCGTGATGAGGCAAGTAAAACCCTTCACTGCTTGGAACCTTGCCCCTCGGAACTCGCTCCATGTGCCCTAGCATCATATAGGCAGTCAAGAAGT